TTTCGAAAGTCGCTTCTACCAGAAGACGACGGCCGATTCCTCTTGACCGGCTGTCGATTGGCTTTACTGGAAGATTCATGCGGACGCTGTTTCCGAGGCAATCTTATTCGATTTAGGTGAAAACGTGCTAAGTTTTTGTCCGTCATATGGCGGACATCATCAGCGCGAGGTACCATCTTCACAACAAAATTCAAGCTAACGAGTCAAGAAAACTCGTTTATAAAACCCTATTTATATGATAATTCCAGTCATTTGATTTACTATAATTATTTGACAGCAGTTACACTCTACATAATAAGCTTATACTAATGCTACTTGGGTATACGTTACCAAAGAAATATTTAAGATTTTTTGAGAGGTGGGATATTAATACATTTCCGGCCTTCAATGCCACAGAAGAGGCCATTTAAATCCATTCGATAAAAGTCTGATTCATGATGCTCAGGCAATTGCGGTCTATTCTATTCGGTTATTGGTTTAGCTGACAAAAGACTTTAATTCTATTCATCTTGGTGCCTTATTGACTCATTCATTCGATAATATGCACAATACTTCCCTAATAAGGTGACTATTGCTCTCGGGACTTGTATACTTTTCTCGTAAACATACAAGTAAATCATATTATAATATATTTAATAAAAACTAAACACTTGCTTAAATATGAAGAGAAGCTGGCTTTTGAAGAATCCCTTGATTGATAGTGGCGTATCTTTCGTTTCGTTTTGAGAAGACGGGTAGAAGGGACTCATAGATTGGCCTCATCGGATACCGCAAGAGGGTTGCCTTGGACTTTGGTCTGTTGAATTGTGTGAAGAAGACCTCGCATCCGCTTCGTAAGACCCCGATGACTCCGTGATGAGCTTTCGTCCGTCACAAGACGGACATAGTCAGAGCCAGAAACCAGTATTCATGAAAAATCACCAAAGAATACAATATGGGGGAGACTTGTCCACCCATACATAAGAGGCTATCAGAATAAGTCGTTGACGATGTTACCTCGCTCTGATGATGTCCGTCATATGACGGACAAAAGCTTAGCACCTTTTCACCGGAATCGAAGGATACCACTTCAGAAACAGCGTCAGCATGAATGTTCCAGTAAAGATAATCGAGAACTGGTCAAGAGGAATCCGCCGTCGTCTTCTGGTGGAGCCGACCTACGAATCTCTTCACTCAACACTTCCACTCGAAATGGAAGTAAGCTCAACAATTACGAAATTATGACTAGACCTCGAATAAAAGCTCTATTCACCTCAGATCGTATGAGTAATGGAAGACTGATAGTAAGTTGTCCCTCAATGAGAGTAGGTCTCATCGTGCTGGTGAATTTCTGTTTGCCCTACAAAAGGTATTCTCATCCCTACTGGATTGGAGTGTAGCTTTCAATTTTGACATGTCATCATTATACCACCACAGTTCTGGTTCGACTGTCGTTGAGGATGCTGATGAGACCAGATGAGGCATGCTCGAGAATGCAGTTCAGTCGAGTCGGCATGGCAATACTTTTTAGGAGAAAGGGCTGAGCGAAATTCGCTGACATAGTCAAGCCTATTGATAGCATTATGGAAAAATTGACTATCAATTTTTTATACTCTTATACGACTTAAGATAGCTAGAACCCTTATTTAATGAAATTCCAC